ATGAGTGTTTATGAATGCTATGGAGGAGTAATGCTGTATAAATGATAAATTAAGCTTTTTCTAATACCTTAGTAATGCTAAAGTTAGAGTGCTCTCTGTAGACTGATTCTAAATGCTGTAAACATTCATCAGCATTACAGTGGAGCTGTATGCTACTGACAGGAGCGGGGTGGGTATGCATCATGATACCATCTGAGGTTAGCACACTGATCTGAGGGCGTTCCTGTCTACTTCAGTTGTTTACGTAGAGAGGATGCTGCTGTTTGCTGATCACTCTCTCCCTGATGACGGAAACAGAAGACAGCATGTCATTATTATGCTAAAATAAACCTGTGACAGTTGATCCAGTTAGTTTGGCTCTAAATCCATTTTGAAGGTTGTTTTTTAATTTGTGGAATCTTTGTCATGGCTGTCTTGATTTTTTTAGATTGTAGTGAATCCCTTTATCGTTCATGATCCTGGGATTGCAGACGTAAATATGTTGAAAGGCTCCCAGCATGCATTGCATGGGTTTGTGGACAGAAATGTCAGTCTGAAAGAGCTGCACAGTGTTTGAGTCGCGGCTCTGAAGCTGTGTCGGTGTGTAACTCTGCATCCAGCACATTAACAGAAGCTTCTGAGCTCGAACCACTGCTGCAGTTACACACATGCACACACGTTTGTGTAGTTCTGGGCCACTAGGTGGAGGCAGCCTTCAGATCCCGTTCTCTCATTGGCTCACTGTCTTCGATCAGTTTGAAATCCATCACAGAGTCCTGAGCGATCAGGCCTCGTCACAGCTCACAGATGTTGTTGTGCCGTCTCAGCAGGAAGTCCAGGAACATTCTGGGTTTGCTGCCAGCTGCTGAATAAGTGACTCTGAGAGCAGTGACACTGTATTTCAAACCAAAACTGATGCAGACGTTTGTTTTAATGTGAGATTTTCTTGTATTCTCAGGTGTACAAGGTGTGCACGGACACGTTCGACTCCTATGATCAGCATTATGGAAGAGGATTGGTTACGGACACTCTCAAAGATGGTATGTGTGTGTGTTTGATGAAATGTAAACAGGGGCTTTACTCCCCCACCCCAGGGTCACGCAGCTCATATCATGCTGTAGTTTGTTGAACATTGACTGCTCCTCCACATTCACCCGATCTCAGTGCTGGGGTGTGGACGCTGTGTGAGTCTGTGCCAGTCAAAGGTCTGCAGGAACAAAGGGGCTCCAGCCTGATGCTGTTAAACCTCGTTTGTCTCTCGTTTCTTCCTGTTGAAGCTCTACCTGGAACCTTGTTAAGATTCAAACATGCAAAATAGGATTTTTTACCATTTTTCAGCTGATGTGAAACTTCTGATCGGGCCTGTGTTAGCATGGTGTACATATCAGTGTGCAGCGTGATTACAGTGTTACAATGGCACACATAGTGGAGATTAGGGCTGCCACAAACGATTATTTTGATAGTCGACTAGTCACCGATTATTTTTGCGATTAGTCGACTAATCAGATCATCATCCATTGGACCTAACAACGTACAGCTTATTGCACCAGCAGCATCTGCTCTTATATAACTATCATTAGCTTACAGCTTTAAGTGTTTCAGGTATGTGCTAACTAAAAATAAAGACAAGATGATACTTTATTACATTTTAATAAAATTTGCAGATTGTTTTGGTGAAGTTTAATAAACTCCTTGCTATCTAAAATATAACAGGACACCGGAGTAAATTCTCGAGCATCTCACACTTCTGATAATCAGCTGTCTGCTTGATGTTTATTCAGCTGTGTAAAAACTATAACTTTAATCTCAGCCAAACCGATTTACTCAGGAACAAATAAAATACTAAAAAAAAGCCAAACAATAACATTTTTAAGTTATCTAAGTGACTTATATATCATGTTTAACCTGAGTAGCGAAAGACGGCGGTGGGTTTGAAAACGATTAGCCGGGAGTCCGGTGTTCTCACGGCTCTAGTTAGCCTAGCCCCCGGCTAGCTATCGAGCTAGTGGGTAACAGACGTCTCCGAAAACGTCGGAGCGCTTTTGAAAATATGTGGTGTCTTGATAAACTGAGCAGATATTTGAGGTTTACACAGCTACATTCTCGCCTGAAAATATGTTAAACGTTTATTTTGTGACCCAGAAAGAATAATAAGAGTAATATTAAAACTAACTAGCTGCCGCCATTGTTGTAAACTGAGCTGGGCTGCGCTATGAATTCTGGGACACAGCTTCTTCTTCTTCGGGGTTTAACGGCAGCTGGCATCCTTGTACATGCAGTGCTGCCATCTTCTGTTTCAGTCCGTTATTACACTCTTAAATCCTACTACTTATTCCTGCGTCTTTTGGGATCTTACAAAGCTTCAAACGACGCGTCGACGATTAAATCAGTCGTCGACGATTTTGATAGTCGACGTAATCGTGGCAGCCCTAGTGGAGACACAGGCTGCACTTGAGTTATTGTGTGTTATTGTTATTATTATTGTTGTTATTATTTTTGAACGTCTTCTCCTGTCCACCAGGCTTGTCTAAATTCTTCCATAATGGAGTCAGCCTGAGGAAGGACGCCGTGGCGGCGAGCATTCGCAGAGTGCAGCGGATCCTTCGCTGGTTCGAGTCCCAGCACCAGCTGACTTTCTATGCCAGCTCCCTTCTGTTTGTCTACGAAGGCCTGCCCTCCTCTTCATCCTCCCTGTCGTCCCTCCTCAGCAGTCCATCCGTCAGCCCCACTGTGATGGTGAAAACGCCCACGTCTTTGTCATCAGGTGAAGGCGCCACAGAGCGGAAAGCCAGACAGGGAAAGCTGGGGCAAGGAGAGGAAGTGGCCGAGTACAACAACAACAACATCCAGGTGGCAGAGCACTGGGACTACAGCCTGGACGCTGTTTATTCCAATCGCAGGAAAGGCGAGGACGGTCACAGGGGAGACGGTGGCGCTGTGAGCGCCGTGTCTGGAGACGGCGTCTCAGCAGCGGGTGAGGAGGACAACTCTGCATGGAAACAGTCACGTGAGCTGCAACGACCACCTAATGGGAACGGAAACAAATCCCAACTGCAAGAGAAGGACGTGGACAGAGAGGACGGGGAGGAGGCGAAGGACCGAGGAGGCGACGAGACGGAGAGCGGCGCAGGAGACGTAGAGGTGGAGGTCAGGATGATCGACTTTGCTCACGTTTTCCCGAGTGAGAGCCAGGATCACGGCTACGTCTACGGCCTGAAGCGCCTGCTGACGGTGCTGGAGCAGATCCTGTGTGATGCAGCGTAG